TATATGTGTTTATATAAAAGCACAGAGTATAGCTCATCTTTTACAACAATAAAATAGTCCATAGACAAATGGGTGTGATGAATTTCATTCTAATAATACTTTTGCAAATTAAGAACACTGTGACTGGTTTCATTATAAAAGGATACCGACATGCTACATGGGAATTCCTAAATGTTTTTAATTAGAAATAAACTAATGATGCCATCAGAAAGCACAGAGTCACAGCCAAAGTAATTATCTCTGGTCTCCAGATTGTTGCACCATAACATTCCAGGAGCCTATCAAAGGAGGCAGGGAAGCCAGGGATGTGGTCTCAGGATGATGGGACTCACAGAAAAAGCCCCTGCACTGTCTCACTATACGACACTAGGAAGAGAGAAGGACCCCACAAAAACTGCCACTTACACAGGCAACAGACACGTACTTGCTCCAGCTACCTCACAAGAGACGTGACAGATACACACTGTGACTTTTCACCAGGACTGGACAAAGGAACTTAGAGAAAGGTGTGAAAATAATAACTCTTTAATCTGCCAAGAATTTGGAGCACTGCAGATGGTGACATATATTAGTAAGCATAGTTCTTCACAAAAACAGAAGTGGGTAGCTTTTTTTCTCAACAAAATGCTCTCCCTGTAAGATTGGCAAAAGAGTAGTCTGTGCAGGTGGCCCAGGAAGCAGCAGGCCCCCTGGTGGACAGAGACATTCCTATGTGTAAGAATCCTAGAATAATTTTCTGGAAAGACAAACACACTGTTTCAGATAAAAGAGCAGAAAACTCCAGCTGTGCTGGTAGACCTGTTAGAGGTCAGCACCCATCTTACCCTGGAAGACCACTGTGTTCCTAGCTGGGAACGCACGGAAGAATGGGCTACGGAACAGGAACACCACCAGTTCCACAGGGCATACTCACGTCTTCTTTTTTCTTAGTTAGTACAGCAAATACTTTGGTCTGATTGTCTGCATCTTGTGACAAGCGATAATGACCCAGCAAAACTGCATCCGTTCTAAGAAATAATAAACACATCTTAAATCAACCAGTTATAGTTACTGGAGTAATCTAGGAAACTGAGCTACACCACCACCTGCTCAACTCACCTGCAAACGGTTACTAACTAGGACGAGAATGAACTTTAACTCCGAAGCCCCAAACCTATTACACAGGTTGCCTACGGAAAGGCTTCTGGAGACTGTTTCCTCCAAGCCCTGTGCCTGCTTTTAAGTCATACATATTCAGTCAGAGGAGGATAAATCTGAAAAATATGGACTGGCTAGAAAGCTATATAAAAACACTACCTGCTGTTTCTAGTTCTTAAACGGGGAACAATGGACTGAGGCTCCTCGGGGGTTGTCAACATCATCACATGGCCATCGGGAAAGAATCTTATGTACCTAAATAAAAAGAAAAACACCAACACCACTACACACACAATATAAAACATGCCCTTATTAGTTTGCAGTACCTACACTTGGTCATAGCTGTGAAACCCAGACTGAAATACCATCAGCAAAGCACTGCTAAGATAGGAACGCACGCACGACAAAGTCAGCCTATAAGGACAACTAAGGCATTCTATAAACTCCCTTGCGGATCTGCTGGCCTTTTCATTTTACTCACTGGATAAACATTAACTTGGATCTTTTCGACCCAGATTCTTTAAAGCCACAGATGCAGGCCAGAATGTAGCTTAATTGACAGAGTAGTCACTTAGCACAGACAAGGAGCTGACCCCCAGCAGCATAAAACTAGGTGTGGTGGTATACTTCTGCAATTCTTAGCAATCAGGAGGTGGAAGCTGGAGGATCAGAAGTTCAAGGTCATCCTTAACTATGTAGTGAGTTTGCAGCAAGCTTCAAACAATAAAATAAATTACAAAAACAAAACAACAACAACAAAAACAACTTGGCTCTTTTCTTAAAGTTCTCTATTTCCCTAAGGCACTAATGAACACCCAACAAAGTGGGACCCAATAATCAATATACCAGCACTCATCTACTTATTCTCAGCAGCAGTCACCCGTGCTAACACTAGCTGGGGGGGGGGGGGGGGGGGGACAAGCCTTGTATGTTATAACAAAGAAAAAGGGCTCTGGACTGCAACTAGGGGCTGAAGGACTTATAAACTTTATATTAATCTTTTGGTTTTTGAGTGCAGTTCCTGTCATAATACTGATGAAAATGCTGAGGATCATTCTGTGGATAAATCATAAGCAACAGAAAACAGACTGAATAACTAAGGAGCTGACACTGGCGAGAGCTCTCACGCACTCCGTGCACACAGCTCTACCTGTAGTATTCCACTTGGTGCCAGGCTCTATAGAAACCATCCAGAGACTGCTCTCCCTGGCGGATATATGTGGTTTTACTGATGTACACGCCTAGAAAAAAAAAAGTTGTCTTAAAAGTACATAAATACAATTTAAGTCAGAATCATATACCATAGTGTTGTTTCCCTTAATTATGCTCATACATACTTTAGTCTATTACAGAAATGTACTTAAAACAGTGCATTTATCAAAATGACCACTGCAGATCATGACATCTCCTGAGTTGAACTTACCATCAAAGCGAACACGAGGCCGTTCTAAAAACATCTCTCTCCAGGATGAGTACGGGACGAGTTTCATGCAGCCTCTACCCCACACTTTCAAGCAAGCCAGACGCCATATTTCAGGGTCTCTAGGTAGAAAGCACATCACCAGTAAGTGTTAAAAGCTAAGTCCTTAGAAGCAATGAGTATTTTGACTACCATGCATTTCTTTTTAATTTGACAATTATTTGTTGAGCTCCTTCGAGACACTGTCTCAAGTGGCAGGCAGAGGACCTTTTGTTTACTGGTGAGAGGAATATGCAGATAGAGTGCTCAGTGTAAAACCCAACCACAGAAGTAGTTAGACAGGAACGACACTGTTCGATAAACTAGTCCTTTGGGCAGGGTGACCACAGGGACAGGGAAGACTATCCTGGCAGGTGTAGCCAGTGCAAGGTTTGGGTTGGAATGTGAATGATGGGATCCGCAAAGAGCCAGTATGAGCGCAGGCTGCAGAAGAGAGCGAGCTGAGAGGACGGAGGGGGAGGCCTGCAGCGGAGAGTGAGGCTTACCAGAGCTGCACACACTAGAAACAGCGTGACTGTGCTTTCAAAGGACAGCTCTGGGAGAAATGGAGTAAGGAAAGGTGACAGAATCTGAGACAGCATCAACAGAGCAAAGTCAGTGCATTCAAGACAATAGAGGATGATAAAGGGACAGAAAACCAATTTAAAGAAATAACAGTAGAAAACTTTCCCAAACCTGGAAACAGACAAACACCCAGGAATCAGGAAGAACAAAGGATTCCAACCAAATACAACCAGAATACAACAAAGAAGTTCCAATGTGCCTAGCAACAGACTTCCAACAAGAACTTCTACTAAAGATCAGGGACATGGGATCCCATTCTAAACCCTGAAGGAAACAAACAAACTACGAAGCAAAGACGAAGGACCCAAGGGAGCTGGAGAGAGTCCTTGCCAGGACTGCCACAGAGAATCCAACAGCAAAGGGAAACTGCATGCTGTTGCTGGGTGAGGGAGAGCTCTGCAAACAGCAAGAAGTGGCAAGAGCCCTAAATGGAAGGGCAATGCAGAGAATGGAAGAACTGAAGCTTTGGTGCCAGCTGCTGGGGACAGGTTGTCTTTGTGCTGCCAGGAAAAGGAAAGTAGCTGAGTGTTGGCAACAGCAGTTCAAGAGCAGGCTGGCAGCTCTAACTGTGGGACCTCACAGGCTATGGGGGGAGGGCTGTGTGCTGGGAATTGAACCCAAGGCCTTGCACATGCTACACAAGCACACCGCCACTGCACTATCTACAGGGGTTTAATACAGTTAGTTCCAGGAGTTGGCTGGTGTAAGAGTGGCTGCCATGCTTCACAAGGAAACTCACAGTTCCCTAAAGGCAGAATCTAAGCTGCTACAACAACAGCCAGTGTTAGATATCCTTCAGCCTTAGGGTAAGCAGAACATCTGATGCTGGCAGGAAGCCCTGGCCTGTGCGCCTCCCAGCCACTCAGCGTTCTCAGATCAGCAGGTGGCACTGCCTCAAGCTAGAGTCCCATCTGTATTTTCCCTGGGGGTACTTGGGGGGGGGTCTCTTGGCACTGCAGCTGATGAGAGGGTCCCAGCTTTACCTGTGTCTGCCCACTTCCAGCAGCTCCAGGAATACAACTCCTAGAGTTCCACTACCTGGTGCCGTCTGCACTCTGTGGGAATGGGGCAAGGGTTCTTCTGTAGCCTGTTGCCTTGAGACTAGCTAGCTGTGAGTGCCAAAACCCAGCACCATCCACCACTATCTCTCAGAACCTGGGGAAAAAAAAAAACCTGATACACTTTCAACCCAGGTTCCCTAAAGCCCTGTGTGTCTATAGCTTGACCCTCAGTTAAGGGCTACTGGGAGGGGGCAGAATGTTAGCAGGCAGAAGCTTTGCGCCCTTGAAAGGATTAACAGGACGCTAGTTCCTTCCTACTCTTTCTTCCAGCTACCATCAAGTCAACAGCTGCCCACACCACATATTCCAAACCATTATGTTCTGCCTTGCTGCAGGCCTCGAGGCAACAGACCAAAGACCAACACCATCACCCAAAATAAACCTCATAACAGAACTCTTACACAAGTCCCATCTGTGCCCACAGCTCTAGAACCCCCATCATACACATATGGCTCCCCAACAGAAACCAGGAAAGACCTCTTCCCCAGTCTACAGCATTAGTGCTGCAGCTGCTGGGGCCAGAAAAGCACTGGCAGTGCCCAGGCCCAAGCCTGTCTTATTCATGCCCTGCACTTCCAAGACTGACTACCAACGTTTGCCCCACACAACCTAGGGACATTTTATCCACATCCTGCAGACAACAGATACCAAAACCACAAGACCCAGAACTATAGACACTCAACCCATAGGATCTAGTACAGCCACCACATCTGGTATCCCCAAGAGTGTAGACAGACCAGAATCACAAACCCAACTCTTACCCACATAAGCCCCGTAAGGCCTGTGTACATGGGACCACAGCTGCTGGTGCCAAAAGATAACTTGTATTTGTCACTTGAGACCTGGTTCCCACAAGCGGCTATCAGAGGTCCAAGTCCCAGAGCCACCCACAACTGTCCCTTTGCATCCTATTCCTTCTGGGGTTACTGATGCCACAGACCTCACCACTAATTTGGTTTTTATCACATGGAATCTAGGCAAGGTGACATCCTACCTCATGGCTCCAAAAACTGGACACTGGCACCAAAGTCCAGGCATTTCCCACATCTATCCTAAGAGTTGTGACAAGGTCTTTTTCAAATCCTATGGTTCAAGGACCACAGCTGTGGGCATGACAGACCTTGGTATTGCTGGTGCTTGTCAGGATGGACCTAAGGACAGCCCTCTGGGCATCTCATACAATCAGGACCCAGAGAAGCCTGAGGACACAAGAGTCTGCGCCCACTGTAAAGCTGTACTCACTGCAGTCTAGACGATCAGGTGCTCAGAGACACTGCTGACATCAAGCAGAGCCAAAAAAAAAAATCAATCACAAAGATGTCATACATTTAAGCTCCCTTCTAAGCAGAGCCAAAGCCCCAGCTGAGTCTATATCCCATCTAAATGGGGGAAAAATATTTCCAAGAAGTACAGGAAATAAAAACAAAAGGAGATGAGATAGATTACTTCAAAATAAGGTTTCTTTCTGGGTCAATGGATGGCTCAGAAGGGATGGCACTTGCTACTAAAACTGATGACCTGAATTTGGTCCCTGGGACCCAGATGGTGGGGGAGAACACTGACTCCAATGAGTTGTCTCTGGCCTGCACAGGCATGGCAAATGCTGTCCACATACATGGACATACTAACATATAACCAAATATAATAATTTAAAAGGTTTCTATGACGAGAATGAACTTTAACTCCGAAGCCCCAAACCTATTATACAGGCTGCCTAGGGAAAGGCTTCTGGAGACTGTTTCTCCCAAGCCCTGTGCCTGCTATTAGAAAGAAAACATCTAATAGCATGTAGAGATAGCCTAAAGAATGAGAGAAACACACTGGCCAAATCTACACATGAGAGAGGTGACATTTATAAGAAATTCTAAATATTCAATAGCAAAAAACACCAATAAGCTAATTAAAACATGAGCAATAAATCTAAACAGACATTTCTCAAAAACAGATATTCTGATGATAAACAGGAACATGAAAAAAAGTGTTCCATACCACCAATCATCAGGGAGAGGCAAACAAAACATTGGTATCACATACTTCATGAAGAATACTCCATATGAAGAATACAAATTAGTACAGTCATGCAGGTTCCGTGAGAGATGCAAATAGGGCTGTCGCATGATGCAGCAATCCCAGTAATGGGTAAGCATCCACAGGAAATGAATCCGTGTATAGAGGCATCTACAGCTCACGTCACTGCAGCACTGTTCACATAGATAGCAAACGGCAGGAGAATGGACTTTACAAACCATAGCACAGCAAAGAAAACCAGCCTACAAACCACAATCCCAGAGAACTTGGACAACAATGAGGACACGAAGAGAGACTTACATAGATCTAATCTACATGGGAAGTAGAAAAAGACAAGATCTCCTGAGTAAATTGGGAGCATGGGGACCTTGGGGGAGGCTTAAAGGGGAGAGGGGAGAGGCAGGTAGGGGAGCAGAGAAAAATGTAGAGCTCAATAAAAATCAATAAAAAACATAGCACATATATACACTGCAGCACTATTTAGACATAGAAAGAATAAAATCATGCAGTTTGTATCAACTTGGAAGGAACTACGGGCCATTAAGTTATGTGAAATGTAGTGACAACTGTCACATATCCTACTCATTATGCAGGATCTAAAACAGTCCCATAAAAGATGAGGACAATGGTGGCTATCTGCTTATGTCACTGGGAAGAGGAGTAGAAGGGGGGGCAGGGGTTGATCAATGGCACTAAGTTACACTTAGGAGAAGAAGGGCCAGTGCTGTGACATAGTAGAGAGGGCATCAAGGTCAATATGCTGTGTATTTTCAAACAGTACAAGAATTTTGAGTTTCCACCATGAAGAAAGAAATAACCCAGGTATTGTGGCATTAACCTGTAATCCTAGCACTTCAAAGGCTGAAGCATAGAGCTTTGGAATTAGAAGACAACCTGAAATAGAGATATAGTTCAAGGCCATCCTGGGCTACACAGCAATACCTAGTCTCAAAATAACAAATGCTAAGATATAGTTTTATAAAAAGTACTTGCCTAGTACAAAAACAGAAGTGAATATGGTTAATGTAATTATACAGTATGCAACATACACTTATCATACATTATATAGAACTATTAATATAGAAATTACTTTTACCTTTTCATGCATTAGCTAAAATAATAAAATTAGGTGCATGCTGATAGAACCAGGACCTGGGAGGCTGAGTCAAGAGGACTACTTTGCACTTGAGGCCAACCTGGGCTACACCGTGAGTACCAGGCCAGACCTTGCCTCAAAACCCAAAATAAACCAACAAACAAACTCTTAGAAACAAACAAAAATGCCACCCGGTCCTGTTCCTATGAGAACCACCCTTCAGACCCAGGAAGACAGAGCTGTTCCCAGAGAGAGAAGATTTTCCCCAGCAGACCTGTGACAGGAACATTAGTTTCCTAAGATGGAAGAAAACAGTACTAATAAACAACACAAATACCTCATGTTCAAACTACAACATCAAGAACTCGAATATAGGGGCTAAGAGAATTGACTGCTCTCACAGGGGATCTTGACTCAGTTCCCAGCACACACAGCAGCTCACAACCATCTGTAACTCCAGCTCTAGTGGACCCAATACCCTCTTCTGGCCTCTTCAGACATTAGGCACATACGTGGCGCAGACATGCATGTAGACAAAATATTCGCCCACGTGAAATAAAGTCTTAATTTCTTTTAAGAATTTGAATATAGAGGAAGTGGAATCAAAGTGTGGAGGGCAGAGTCTGTATGCAAACTGGTATCAGCTTCAAATAATTATTAAGATGAGTTTTGTAGCTTTCATGGTAAATCCAAGTACAAACCTGTAATAGACACACTAAATATAAAAAACAGGAAATAAAAACATGCTGCTAGGCAAAACCACCTCACCCAAAACAGACAGGAGAGGGTAAGGGACTACAGGCTAACTAGAAAACAATGACAACAATAAATTCTCTCATATCGGGAATTACCTTATATACAGATCAGCTTTCCAACTGAAAGACAGATGCCTGGACAGAGGACTGACTCTGGCAAACTGACCTCTGACCTCCATTCATGCTGCGGTACTTGGACACTCACACATACAAACACACAAATAAGTAATATGATAAAAACTGTTTTAAAAACTCATGTTGAACTGTCACTTGTCTCTTGTTAGATTCTGAAATAAGGGGAAAATGGCAAACGTTAGCCAGCTATGGGGAGAAAGGGACTGCTACTGGAATGAACGGACACTAGGACAGTCACTACTGAAGGCGGTAGAGGCGAAAATAGTACAAATAGAATCATATGATCTAGCAACCCTACTACTGGGTATCTTTTTAAAAAAAGTAAAGCATTTATTTGTGTATGCACATGAGAGAAAGAGAGAAAGTGTGTGAGTGTGTATGTGTGTGCGCGCACGCACGCGCTTGTGCCAGGGTGTGTCAGTGCCCTCAGAGGCCAGAGGAGGGCATCAGATCTCAGAGTCAGAGTTACAGGTAGTTGTAAACTGCATCCCACAGTGCAAATATATTTTAAAACATCATACTATAAACAATAAATATATACAATTTCTTTCTGTCAGTTAAAAAAAAATCCCTCTGGTGGTTACAGAAAAAATGTTCTATGTATCCAGGAATAAAAGCAAGGCCATAGAGAATGTCACCAAATTTATTGAGACCAGGGGAAACAGTGGCCAAAGCTGATTGGTAGCAGTAGTAGAGAAATGGCTGATTGGACATACATTGTGAAAATAGCAGCAGAATTTTTTACAGTGAAAATAAGAGAGGCTGAGGAGATGGCTCAGTGGTAAAGGGTCTATCATTCAATTATGAGGTCTGGAGTTGATTCCCAACATCCATATAAATGCTAGGTGGACATGGCTGCTACACACACACCCGACACACTCAGCCCTGCAGAGACAAAGGAGCCCCACAGCAAGCTAGCTAGTCAAACCTGCCGACTAAGCAAGTTCTATGTTCTAGACTGACCCTGTCCCCAATATATAAGGTTGAAAATAATGGAGGATCTAGGCAGTGGTGGCATACTCCTTTAATCCCTGCATTCAGGAGACAGAGACAGTTGGATCTCTGTGAGTTAAAGGCCAGCCAGGTCTACAGAGCAAATTCCTGGAGTCCACAGACTCCAAAGCTACAGGGAAACCCTGTCTCAAAAAAGAAAAAAGAAAATGATAGAGGAAGACTCCTTACTCAATTTCAGGTCTGTGAATGCGCAGACACACGTGTTCAAAAACATGGGAACACATACTCACCTACACCACATAAATTCAAAAAACTAAGTGTACGCTGTGTTAAAAAGACATATTTTGTTATAATTCAAAATATTTTTAAATCCCACTCGATAAAAGATAGCATCTTCAACAAATGGTCCTAGTCAAACAGGATAGTTACATGTTGAGGAATGAAGCTACATCCCTATCTCTTGCCCTATACAAAACTCAACTCCAACTGGATCAAGAACCCCAATCAAGTAAGATCTGATAGAGAAGAAAGCACAGAACACACTCCAACTAATAGACACAGGAAGGACTTTCTGAACATGATTGGGACAATACAGGCACTAAGAGCAACAATTATTAACGTCTGGAGGGATGGTTCAGTTGTTAAGAGCACTGACTGCTCCTCAAGACGACCAACGCTCAATTCTCAGCACACACAAGGCAGCTCACAACTGTCTGTAACTCCAGTTCCAGGGGATCCAATACCCTTACACAGACATAAATGCAGGCAAAACATCAATGCACGTAAAATAAAAAATAAACCTTTAAAAATGTTTTTTAAGACCAATAATTGATAAATGTGACTTAATAAAATTGGAAAGCTTCTGTAGAACAAAGGGCACCATCATGTGAGTAAAGAGATCCCTACAGAATGGAAAATCTTTACCTGCTACGTATCTGATAGGAGGATTAGTATCTAAAATACACAAATAATTCATCAAGAATTGTTTCTTGACTAAACACCAAGAAAATAACTACCTATAAAAAATTTGGGCAAGAATCTAAACAGAACTCTAAAGAAATACAAATGTCTAGGTCCTCTGAGAGTCCTAATGCCCTTAACCACTGGGCCATTCCTCCAGCGCCAGGTTTCCTTATTTTAATAATTTCTCATTTTATGATGATAAATCAAGTTTTATTCCAGAAATTTTGCTTTATTTACCAAACTGACATGTCTTCCCACCTATAATTAATGGAGTAATACTGATTGGTTGGCCAATTTGAAAGAATAGGCAGCAATCCAATGCCACTTAGTAGATATTTATGCAACAGACCAATACAGAATTATTACAAACCCAGGCTTTAATTCAAATAGTTTGTGCAAAATATTAGATTCTAAATGGAATTAGGCTATTTAAAAATAATGCATTTGCAATTTTAAGGACTAAAGTTATAAAATAAATTCCACATGCTAAGGACTAAGTATGTATTTTTGTATAAGAAACCTCTGGAGAATCAGATACAAATGACTTCATATTGTGCTGTGATACTCTTCATACAACAACATTTTAAGGTATGCACTTGTTAATTTAAGGAGTCAAAACAAAAGCCTAGGAGAGCTAAATTTAAGTCATTAACACCTAATGGGTTTAGAGTTATTATACGAACACTGTGAATGTATTTTCTTCCACATCAGCTGAACTGTCATGGGAGCCGTGGAAGTAGTCAATGTGACCACATCTGCTTCAGTGTCTATACTCTGGGAACCCAGCACATTCTAACTTTTAAATGTTGTTGTTCAAGAAAAATCACATTGAGTACAGTTTTGCACAGTTTCTATTTAAGCTCTTACTCCGAACATCAAGGTTTGTTTGTTTTGTTTTCTGTCAAAACTGACAAAAGGCTATCATCTTTTTCTTACTGTCTAAGTCATTTCTAAAAACAAGTACCTGGCACAGATATAGAATCCTCTGCACACCAGTGACAACTGCTCTAACGATCTGAGATCCAAGTCACTTGAAACCACCCATCGGAAGATGTACATCAGGACCTCCATAGGCAGGACTGCAACAGAAAATCAGCCTTCAGTGACTCCCTTATTCTCTTGGTGCACGTGTGCATTCTGAGAACCCTGTACATCACAGCCTCATACTGCTCAGACACAGACTGAACACACCTAACTACCCAGCAGAAACAATAGCTCCTACACCGATACATGGGAATCTTTATTTTTCGGGAAAGATTTGGTGCTACCGAAAGTACCATTCTCCCCTGCACAATTATTTTATATTAAATTATTAAAATATATTAAAAACAATGTGATTCATATAGGTAACTGTGGATATTCTTCACACTGTGTGAATATATGCCACTGTGATTGGTTTAATAAAAAGCTAAACGGCCAGTAGTGAGGTAAGATTTTCAAGGCAGAGAGAATGCTGGGAAGAAGGACAGAGTCTGAGAAGACACCAGGAGATGCAAAGTGAGCAGGATGGGAAGTACATAGATGAGGTAAATGTGCCTTGGGGCAGCACATAGATTAATAGAAATGGGTTAATTTAAGCTATAAGAGCTAGCTAAAGTCGGGTGGTGGTGGTGCATGCCTTTAATCCCAGCACTTAGGAGCCAAGGCTAGTTTGGTCTACAGAGTGAGTTCCAGAACATCCAGGACTGTTTCACAAAGAAACCCTGTCTCAAAAAACAAAAACAAAAACCAAACCAAGACAAAAAAGGCTAGCTGAAAACAATCCTAAATCCGAGCATTTCCTCTCTGTGTGTGGTTATTTGGGAGTGGCTGGCAGGACAGAGCTGATCTGTAGTCATTCGGAGAAACTTTGCCTACAAATGGCACCCACTGTCAGGCAACACAGAGCCACATAAAATCTGAGATCAAGCTTTAAAAAAGATTCTAAGCACATGAAAACAGAGTCAAAGTCAGCTTCCTGGTAACTGCCTTCTCTCAGGTAGGCTCAGTGCTAGCAACAGAGGCATGGCTCCTAGAAGAGGCAGCTTCCTGGCTCAGTGCCAGCAGCAAACACAGCCATGGCCCTTTTAAGAGGTCCTGCTACTGAACACTGCACGTCTCAGGGGCAGCATGGACCCCAAAACTTCCCAGAGTTGGGGCACAAACGTGGCTCCCTGGCACCTATGGCATGAGGCTAAGCTCTCAGGGAATCAAGAGGGGAGGAGCCAGCCGCCAACATGCCATGAGCTAAGTTACACAGTGGTTTAAGTTTTGCTCGTGCAGACAAAAAAGATTACAGATACAGATTAAGACAAATCCAAAGAAACCTCTAGATAGGTTACAGTGAATTTAGAATATACACAGGCTTGGGGGGGGGGGGAGGATAAATACAGGTATAGAATAAAAAATAGTTTAAAAATAATAAAGTCCTTAAGAAAGAAGTATGTGTGTGTGTGTGTGTGTATGTGTGTGTATTAAGTCATGTAAAGATGGGAAATACACAGGGTCTGGATCCTGTATGTTATTGTGTTGTTTTGAATATTTTGACTCTTGATAAAAAACTGATAGCAACTTAGAAACATTTGATTATTAAAGCTGCTAGATTAAACCAACCAATATATTTTAAAAATCTATCAATTTCAAAATGGAAGTCAAAAGGTGTGTTACATTGGGGGAGATGTTATGCTTTTAGGCTGTGAGTTGATTCCACATTGACATGGATCAGGCTTCATCAGGGAGGACTCCCTGAAAATCCTGGCTACAGACATAAAGAAATAAACCTAGAAAAACTACAAAACACATAATGTTTATTTTACCTGCTCAAACATAAAACAAACAAAATCATCTTTGGTTAGCTTGAGTACAACACACAGTCTATACTTGGATTAATACAGACATGTATGTTATCTTTTAAAGTTTATTTGTATTTTCAAAACAAGGGGACCAGACACCAATGAAAATGGGTGGCCTAGATGATCCAGCATCTCAGAATGCCTCTGCTATAGTCTCCTTAGAATTCTGCATCCAAAACAGCTTCAAGGCTGCTGGCTGAGATGGTCCAGCCTCACAAACTACTTCAGTCAAGACTTAACAATTATCCTGATTTTCCTAAGGTTCCCCCCAAATATACCAGCACTCACTGAGAGCAGGAAGTAGTCTTAAAAAAACAACACCCATTCCCAAAAAGTGGATTATGGATGTTGCCAATGTTTGGGGGGGTTGGTTACACATTGTTATTAGTCATAGCAGGAAAAAAAAAAAAAAAACAAAGGAGTTAAATTCAAAGATCTCTAATGGAAAAAAGGAGGATATTATATAGAAATGATGAGATAAAATGGTAAATTGTTGAATCTACTTTAATCCAAAAACAACTATTGATCTCAAAATATTTTAAATTGGCATGGATTTATATTTAGTGATACAAATCTAAAGTTAATTTTGTTATACTATTTGTGTGTTTCTACTCTTATTTGGAGTATTGTACTTATAAAGCAGCTCATTTTAAAATGTAATGTATAATCAGGAAATACAGATTAGTAGTCATCTATAATAATCAAACTTGTAGTCACATTAGGTTATGTTTTTAAGGTTAAACAGATGTATTTAGATAGATAAAAGGTCTTCAAACACTACAAAGACTTATGTAATGTGGCATTTAATATGTTTAATGACCTAAGGCTTTTTATGACAGTGAGACATGTCTGTTCCTGACAGCACTAATTTACTTCAAAAGAAGATAAATACCAAAGAACCTCCATATGAAGTTTGCTGTCTTTATGACAAAATTTGGGCAAAAAAATCCTCCCCTTGCCTCAGTTGTTATCCAAACTGGACCAGCAGGATGCAAAAGAAAGCAACTGCTAAACTTTGCCAAGACAAGGTAGGACATTCCTTGCTTCTCAGAAAAGTCTATCAGAAATACTAGACCTATAAGCCAAAGATGGATGTCCCAACGTTACAAAAGAACTTTGGTTGACTGTCCAGGCAGCCAGATGTCCCTGTCATTAGGTAACATTACACCTCTCTGGGGTCTTTGATCAAGTTAAAGACTAAATATTTAGAGTTAAAGTTTTTCATAGCCATGATAAAAAGCAAATTAGGTATAAAATGTTAGACTCACAAAGACAAGATAAATAATAGAATATTTTCTCTAAATTTGCCAAATACAAATCAACTGGAAATTATAACTGTGATTCTCACTTGATAACTGTTTTTGTTGTATGTAGTTTTACTATGTTAAAATTAAAACCTTTCTTTTTTATTTAGACAAAAAAAGGGAAATGTGATTATATGTCACTGTGATGATCAGTAGCTAAGCAGGATTTTGGGGGCAGAGAGGATGCTGGGAAAAAGAAAGGCAGAGTCATGAGCTGCAGAGCAAGCAGGATGGGAAGTATATAAATGAGGTAAACAAGCCTCAGGGCAGCCCATTGATTAACAGAAATGGTTAATTCCAGTTATAAAAGCTAGCTAAAAATAAGCCTAAGCTATTAGCTAAACATTTACAATTAATATTAAGTCTCTGTGGTTATTTGAGGGTGGCTGGCAGGACAGAGCTGATCATAGGCAGTCCCCACAAAAAACTCGGCCTACAGGTAACACTAAAGTTATTTTTATTTAAGAAAGTTTTAAATAGACCTCCCATAAATAAGCAGTATTTAGGAAATGAAAATGACAACTTCTGAACATTTGAGGACTACTGTACACTCTGCCTGATATGTTTATTAGCACCAGTGTTCCTCCAGCTTCCAAAGGGCTTCACTGAAAAAAGTATGGCACCCCAGTCTCCTGCATCACCAGTTCTGTTGTTTCAGGTTCTAAAAAGCACAGATTTACATCTCTAGCTATTTCTATAACTAGATCGCCCATCACATCGGACTGTACACCAAGGTTGGAGTGTTTCTGAGTGAAAACCCCCAAGAAGCCACACCTGATATGTGAGTCTGACTGGTCTCCAGCTCAGGCTGACACAGTCTGAGCACAGACTCCTGGAATGTGAGCTGCTGCTGGAAGTACGACAAGAGATCTGCCATCTTGCTGCCATCATCGCTGTCTTCCATGCTGCAACAAGAGGAGTAGGGAACTCAGTGCCTCAGATCAGAAGTGCACACAGTTAAAACTGCTACAGCACCTTCAAAGGGCTTCAGAAACTCATCTAAGAAACACGCCTTCTTATACAGTAAAAAGATGTGCTAATGTGTGTCCTGCCTTGCTGGAAAGTACCATACCATGCTTCCCCAAACAAAACCATTTTGGTAATTATGCAAAAAGTTAAGATTTTTAGGCTCAGGTATTGAGATTTAATTAGTTTAATTGTAGATATTTTATGAATTAGTGAAAACATTGATTTGAAATTTTGTGTAAATTCTTTAATGAATTTTTTTGTGTGGGGGAGTTTGTCTGAGGATATACCATGCAGAGCCCTCAGGGGCTGGAAAGTTTAAAACGGCAATTAATACTGACTTCAACAGATGTCTATAATATGCCTTATCCAATTCTTAAATGTTGATTTTTTTTTCTGTGTTAAAGAACACTAGTTTTGGGAGGAAGAAGAGGACCAGCAAGAACAAAGGAAAAAGAACAAAATTTAATTACACCACAGGCACACACCCAAAGATGAAGGCCATCATTTTGTTTGCCACTTTAAGCATATTTAATGAAAAATGTAAGTTAATTATTTCATGACAGAGCAAATAATAAAGCACCAAATAGCTCCTTAGTAAACTCTATGTAATAGACCAGGTGGTGGTGACACAAATTTTTAATCCCAGCACTCGGGGGTGGGGGGTCAGAGGCAGGTGGATCTCTGAGTTTAAGGTCAGCCTAGTCTACAGAGTAAGTTTTAAGATAGCCAGGGCCACACAGTGAAGCCCTGTCACCAAAATAAATAAATGAATGAATGAATGAATGAATGAATGAAAACAAATGACAAAAAACCCGTCCCTCTATGGAATGGTTCCCCATCCCATAATGAGACAGAGTCTCATAGCTCTGGCTATCCCTCAGTTCTCTATACATTCAAAGGTGATGCTGAACACACTCCCACCTCGCCCTCCAAGTGCTGTGATCAGAGGTATATGCCATCAAACCCTGCTGTGTGGTAACTTGAGGCCAGACTGGTCTACAGAGTGAGTTCCAGAACAGCGAAAGATACAGAGAAATTGTGTCTCAAAAAAACAAAACTTAAAAAACAAAAAAGTAAAAGAAATAGAGTAAAAAAAAAAAAAAAAAAAAACAAGCCATGTGAAGATGGAAATTACAGACAGAATCTGTCTGGATGCTGTATGTTATTGTGTTGTCTTTGAATTGTTTGACTGCTGAGGAAGGAGTAACTGTTGCTAAAAGACATCTGATTATAAATGCTGCTGGATTAATCCAACCTATATATTTTGAAAATATCCTGACTTCAAAATTTAAGTCAAAGAATAACGTTACTATGGGAAAGAGGTTCTGCTTTTATTTCCACAGAAAATGAGAGGCTGTGGATTCAGTCTGGGTTAAGAATAATAAGGTTTGATGGAGGAAGAACCCCTGAAAAGTCTCCAATGGGAATGGATGGCCCAGATGATCCAACATTTCAGAGCACCTCTGTTGTAGTTTCTTCTGATTTCTGCATCCAGACCAGTTTCAAGGCTGCTGCCTGAGATGATCAAGCCTCACAGAATATTCCAGTCAGGACTTGACCATAATCCTAAATTTTCTTTGGGTCCCCACAAGATTACCAGCACAACCAAACAGCAGGAAGTAGCATAGAAAACTTCATCCACATTCCCCAAAAAAATGGGATTATGGATGTTTGTCTTTGTTTAGAGTGTTGATTACAAACTGTTATGGATAATGGTCAGGAAAAAAGCTAAACAAAGGAGATTAGATTCCAAGTTCTTACTTTGCAAAGAAAAAATGGGAAATAATGTGGGATGATGCTCTTGTAAACTATAAAGATTTGTTACTAATATTGGTTTAATAAAACGCTGATTGACCAGTAGCCAGGCAGGAAGTATAGGTGGGGAAACCAGACTAAGAGAATTCTGAGAAGAGGAAAGACAGAGTCTGTCACCAGCAAGATGAAGAGGACCAAGATGAGAAAGCCTTACTGAGAAAAGGTACCAAGCCATGTGGCTAAACATAAGACAAGAATTACAGGTTAATTTAAGTTATAAGAGCCAGTTAATAATAAGCCTGAGCTAACAGGCCAAACCATTTATAATTAATATAAGCCTTTGTGTGTTTATTTGGGACTCAATGGCTGTGGGACAGGGCAGGACAGAAATGTCTGTCTACAACACCCACTTTACATGGTGCTGGGGATCAAACCCTGGGATTTGTGCATGTTGGGCAAGCATTCTACTAACTGAGTTATATTCCTAGCCCTGTAATGCCCATTTTGAATGCCCTGACATTTCCTCTTGGGCACAAACATCTTTCCTTTTAATGCCATCAAGTTGGGCTTTGGAGAAAAGTTAGGCCAAAACAATTTTATAACCATATTGATTAAAAATCACTGGTTTTGAAATATACTCTTAATCTTTCCTCAGTTTAAACCATCATTGCTCCTTCATAACTGACGGGAGTGCTGTCAGGTACAATGAAACACGACTTCTCTCAATGCTTATACCTTGCACCTATGCTTTTAAGCAATGCTATCTGACAGGTTTAATAATGTTCATTCTATATACAGTAAGAGAATGAAAGCACTATAGTTTAGCATTTTCCTAACAAGATACATTTTTTTGAAATGTCAAAAGATTCAAACACAGAAACTAGTCTAATGACGTTCTATATACCTACCACCCAACTTCAAGCATTAGTTACCATATTTATCAACTAGCCTAACTACATTTATTTAGTACTTTCTACTTCAAATAGATTTCAGAAGGTTGAAAGATATTCTTTAATTTATTCTTTTCAATAATCATCAATTTAATTTTAAAAACTTTCATCATTGGAGCTAGATAGATGGCTCAGTGGTTAAGGGCACTGGCTGCTCTTCCAGAGGTACTGAGTTCAATTCCCAGCAACCACATGGTGGCTCACAACCATCTGTAATGAGATCTGGCATCCTCCTCTGGCGTGCGGGCATACATGGAGGCAGAATGTTGTATTCATAATAAATCTTTTAAAAATAAATAAAAATAAAAACTTTCATCACCTTATGCTTGTTACATCTACTCAAGATATAAATCTTAAAATTTCTCTAACTAAGTAAGTCTACTTATAAATGTAGACACAGTAAACATGACACTAACAGAAACAGCATCACCATCTTAGCAAGTTTAGAGTCAGAATGGCAAAAAGCACTTAGCTTATATCTTTATACATTACTCTGTTAAATTATACACGCACTAGCTGTTTCCAACGCCATCACCATCTGGAGATCGGGTATAAGTAATCTTGAACTCAATATCAGGTACAAGTTGCATAGCTCTACGGTAGAACTTGATGGCTAAAAGCAGAGACAAAGCTAAGTTAGTTATGGGCACACATTTCTGTCAGTTACTCTGACTGCCCTTAACTGTGGTTGGCAGACTTCTTTATGAACAGCTGAACACTTCAGACATGCAATGGTAGCATACCGAACAAACACGTCTCCAAGCCATGCTGCTCAGGCTCCTATCCTCAAGACTAAGAGGTTATGTAACTTAAGATGTGTTTTACAACTATCTTTTCATCCTTCCCATGTTTTTCTCACCATCTATGACTCATCAGATTGATTCTATGTGGGTGTTTTTTTGTGGGGTTCAAAAAAAATACAATTGTTATAGGTCAAAATAATTACTTCTGGATGAATTTTTCCTTGTATCACAAAGGTGAAGAAAATGAAATGCTGGATATAATTCATCCTTCAAATCCAATTTCCTTCAGCCAATGTGCCCTTATTCAGCTAAATAAACTTTAAATATTATTATTTTTATGTGAAATTTTAATTTCTACTTTTTAAATTACTCTTTGAGACTGAGACTATAAATAAAATTACAACATTTCCTCCTTCCCTTCCCTTCCTCCAAACCCTCACATGTACCTCTCTCCTTTATCTGTTTCAAATTCATGGCTTCTTTCTTTTAATTAGTGGTTAAATACATATATATTCATGTAGATACATATATATTCCTACATATAAGCTGCTCGGTCTGTATATTACCTGTGTGTATCTTTTCAGGGCTGACTACTTGTTGTTGTGTACTCCAGCCTGGGGATTTTTTTAAATATTTATTTATTTATTATGTATACAATGTTCTGTCTGTGTATATGCCTTCAGGCTAGCAGAGGGCACCAGACCTTATTATAGATGGTTGTAAGCCACCATGTGGTTGCTGGGAATTGAACACAGGACCTTTGGAAGAGCAGGCAATGCTCTTAAACGCTGAGCCATCTCTCCAGCCCCCCTGGGGATGATTTTTTAATTCCCTTCTCAGAAAATCTTAGCTTCCTGTAGGTGTGTGTGTGTGTGTGTGTGTGTGTGTATAGAGTTGAGGCCTCCTGGCCTTCCCCCAATTTATTTTTATTTCTGTCTATGTGTAGGTGCCCAAGGAGGACAGAAGAGAGTGTCAGGTGCCCTGGTGCTAGAGTTACAGAACTGTGAGCACTGTTGAGCATCTCTATAGATCCATATAACTTATTTTTGCTGCTTTGGTTTTTGCTTTGTTTTATTGGTAAAATGTAAAGTCAAGCTTAGAAAGACCAACTGGTGTTCTTTGATTTCATCTGTAGTATTTCATACATCTGGAATACTTTCACACATAAAAAGAACACAGTGTGGCCTGGCGGTGGTGGCGCATGCCTTTAATCCCAGCACTCGGGAGGCAGAGGCAGGCGGATCTCTGAGTTTGAGACCAGCCTGGTCTACAGAGCTAGTTCCAGGACAGGCTCCAAAGCCACAGAGAAACCCTGTCTCTAAAAACCAAANAAAAAAAAAAAAAAAAAAAAAAAAAAAAAAAAAAAAAAAAAAAAAAGAACACAGTGTGATTTTTATTTTACTAATGAAAACTAACACAAAACTAAATATAGAAAATTTATTTTACTCATTCTACAAATATGATAATACTGTCCTGTAATGTATTTTGGAAACAAGTTATATACAATTCATTCATTTTAACTAATTAATTATTTTAGTGAGAACGGGTCTTTACTATGTAGCCCTGGCTGGCCTGGAACTCATTTTGTAGACCATTTCAAACCTGCAAGGATCTTCCAGCTGCAGGCATGCACTACTGTGCTCAAATTTTTGTTCTTAATTTAAAGAAATAACTTCCGTGGTAGGAGGAGAATGCTCTATACCAAATAAATTTCAGCACAAGTGAATACTGATCGCTAACGAGCTGCAATTTAGAAGCTGGGTTTTACCTTCATAGAGAGCTCCGTTTTGTTCTTCTTCTACTGCTTTCAGGAAGAGTTCTCGAGCCTGTGAAATAAAAAGGTTTTTTAAAAAAGCTTTGAAAATCTGTATGGTAGGCAGACAAACCAGGTGTGATGGCACAAGACCTCAATCCGGCACTCGAGAGGCAGAGGCAGTAGGTCATCCATACGTGTGGACAGCCTGGGTTCATGAAACCCTACACAAAAATAAATAAATAAACAATAGGAAGTAAATTTATAGTAGAAAGAAAACATTTTCAAATGATGCTACAGAATTGTACATCCAAAGCAAAATAATGGATTTTGACCTAAGCCACTCAGTTTACATAAAAATAACTCAAAATGGATTATCAACTCAAATGCAAAACCAAAAAGAAAAAAAAAAACCACTTGAGGGAAAATGAAAATCTTGGGGACATAGGTGGCTCTTATTGTGTGAGTGACACAAAAACACACAGTCCACCCTGTAAAGACTCAGGCTCTGAGGGGCACCCTGCTGGGATGTGATGACAGGGTGGGGACAGCCCCATGGGAGAGGAAGACAGTGACAGGGGTCAGGCAGCAGCTAGCACGTAGAGTACTTCCAGTGTGAACAGCTACGGACTCTCCAGATTAAGATAATGACTGATATAACATGACAACATGTTCAGTTTAAAATGTAACAAAACACCAACTATAGCTCCCAAAGAACCAGGTGCCCAGGTGCCAAGTGAGATGCAGCAAGGCACACAGGAGGCTCAGGCAGGGAGAGCCCGGTAAGCTCTAGGCCACTCTACCTACACAGGGAGTTGCAGGCTGAGAACCACTACAGGGTGAGAACCTGTCTCAAGACAAAAACAAAACAAACAAAAAGCCAGCAAACAAACATCCTTTGAAAAGGCTATAGCATTTGAAAATTTCCACCGCTGCCTTTAGGACTTCTGCTGTAAATTCCAGACATCCATTTTTTCAGACACTAGGTGAATCTTAAGAGGCAATAAATAAACAACAAACTACATGAAAATGTTAGGTGATAGGAAAATAAGCTGGTATTAATTACTGGATAAGATGTCATGACCCAATCAACTTAGAAAAGAGGGTTTATTTGGGTTCGCGGTTCCAGAGGCTTGGAGTCCATGGCGGGAGGAGTGAAGGCATGCTGCAAGAACCGGAAACTGAGCGCTCGCATCTTTACACAGCGAGCATGAAGCAGAGAGCAAACTTGAAATGGCACGAGTCTTTCAACTCTCAAAGTCCAGCTCCAGCGACATACTTCCTCCAACAGTGTCAGCAGGGACGGGGCACTCAAACGCCCCAAACTATGGGGGACGCTTCTCATTATAGTAATAACACCACCCCAAACAGAAGCAGTGCAGGGCAGGTAAGCGGGAACACTAGTCAAAATGTCTCCACATCAGAAAACGTCATTTACAAATACACCTCTCTATCGCCAGAGCTGACTAGAGATGAATTATTAGATCACTTTAGCACTTACCTTTTCTTCCTTTGCCAGTTCCTGCCTTCCTTTGGAGTCTGCAGCTGCTTTCAGTATGGAGCCTCTTCCTGCTCTGCAAGGCCGAGTTTCTAAATTACTAGAACCTACACCTGGGGTCAGTTCAAACATCCACTGAGCTCTGAACATCTGGAGCTGTGCCTGTAACAAAAGGGTATTTGAGGAACCATCAAGAGAAGATAGTGAGACTCTGGAGTGATTTAATAATATGCCCAGCATTTATTTCAATGTACTTTCTTGAAATTCTAAGGCCAGAAAAATCAATCTCTCTCTCTATCCAAATACCTGATAAACATACTTAAAAAAATAATTTTCTGCTTAAAACTTTAAAGAATGTGTGTCAGCTGGAAGTAAGTCTGTCTATACAACAGAAAGCCTGAAAGCGCTGGAGAATAAGCCCTGGCGTGGGGGCTGAACATCTGTGAATGATGCACAAAGCTAAGAAGTTCTATAGCTCTTCTCTTTTAATAAACATTCTATACTCCAAAAAGGAAATCCTTCTAAACACAGGTCATTTCAATATAAAACACGCACAAAGTCAAACACCTTATGTGGCTGATTGATTTTAAGGGAGAAATTGTTACCCCCACTTCTAAAACCAGCCAAGTTTTCACCCCATCTAACTACTGCCACAGCAGGGTACCTTCAGGCTCCCCACATGATGACCTGGCTCCCCGTGAGGACAGTTTATCCTCAGAACCCCACAAGACCAGCCCAGGAAGTCCATTAAGACTGCACTAGAGCTGGGCTTCTTCCTCTTGTCTCCATTTCCTCCTCCCTCCCAAAGCACTGGCTCTTCGGTGTCCTGAAGAGCAATCTCCACTTCTCTGCTTTCCTCCCAAGGAGCTCATGCCAGCATCATGTATGTTATTTGTGGTAACTTTTAGAAAATGTGTCACAGATGTTCTAAGAATGTTCTGTACAGGGCTCTGGTTCCCATACTCCTCTAACATGTTACAGTCATGTTACAGTCATGTCTGACCTGCAGACCTACATTCACTATTTACTAAATGACATGTACCAAATAGACAAGTATTATTATTAAGTTTACACGTTTAATAATTAAATTAACTACAGTAATTAGTGTAATATACAAGATTTATCTTATCCTTGGAAATGGTTATAGTGTATTTCATATCATGTTTCTACCATTCCTTAGAACGAGTAATGGCTATTTGGGTCATGTGACACTTTTCCATATAAGTAACCCTATGATAAACATCTTTTAACATGTATATTTACTAATTTTTTCCATTATTTCCTTAGATTTAATTTCCTGGAGAATTGCTGTATCAAAAGGGAAGGCATACTTTTAATTTTGATACACATTGCAAGAAAAATAATGGCCATTTATAATCTCAAGTGTAATGTGCAAGTGGTTTTACAGTCCAGATAGAAATGGACATTATTCAATAAACCAGTTAAATTATTAATGAGGCATATTATCTCTTCAAATATTTAACAGCCATTCATACTTTTCCATTAACTGTCTGTTCACCTTTCTGTCTTGTGTTCCTCTGATTTATGCACAAAATCTATATACTGAGGATTCTAAACCTTTGTTCACACGGCAAGCAGTTGTTCAAGCTATTTCCTTCAACCTTATGATGCCTTTTGTTATGCATAGGCTTGGAACTTCTAAGTGAGCAAAAATCAATCTTGTTATTTAAGGTTACAAGTTTGTCTACTGACCCTAGTTCTATCCCTAAGACTCACAGTAGAAGGAAAGAAATGACTCCCACAAATTGTCCTCTGACCTCCACATGGGTGTACACGTGCACACATGCACACACAAATAAATAAAAGTAATAAAAAAGTTTTAAATTACATACTGAACTCCAAAGCTTCAGTTATTGATATCTATTTTTACAGAAGTATGATTTATGTATGCTATAAAGAATATGAAAGTCCAAGCCAGGCAATGGTATTGCATGTGAGGTTATTCTGGTCTACAGAGGAAGCTTCAGGAGAGCCAAGACTACATCTCAAAAAACAAACAAAAAAGAATATGAAAGTCCAGCTAAACTCCATGCAAAGAGCTGAGAGATGCTCCCAATGGGACCAGTTTCCACACGAGGGACAAGCGTTCAGTACAGAACTGGAGACACGTGCCTGCAGGTCTCTCTCCGCAGGATCATTTTCATCATCACCCACGCTGACGGCATCAGAATGACAATCTTCCTCCGCTTCTGCCTGAGAACAAACCAGAACAAATCAGAAACTGGCAACTGCTAACTTGTGACAACTGTCAACCAGTACGACGCCTTTGAGTTTGCAGAACGCACTCTGAAGACAGAGGCTGGACAGGGCATTTAGGACCCTGCTGTTTATTGCAAAGGAGAACGAGCCTGAGAAGCATATTCTCTACTGCACCACAGGTAGTATCACCATCAATCTTAAAATCTTTTCCCAAAACTGTAATATCAAGTCCACTCATGCAAAAGTCATTTTGAGCCGGGTGGTGGCAGCACACACTTTTAATCCCAGCACTTGAGAGGCAGAAACAGGTGGAACTCTGTGAGTTCGAGGCCAGCCTGGTCTACGGAGTGAGTTTCTTTGATACACAAAGAAACCCTGTCTACAAACAAACTAGTAAGTCATTTTGAGTCTAGATTTTGCTATCTGTAAATGTTTCTTTGGCCTCTTATTTTCTATAAACTGTGTCTGGATCTAGAAGAGGAAACGGAATAAAGTCTGGTGAGTCGCTGCTCTCTGAAGACCACCTCACAGGTGACGTGTTTTCCAGCAGGACCCAGGTGTCCTGAAATGCAGCCAATAAGTCCTTTCAGCAGTGTTCCAAACACAATTATTTCAGTCTAACTAAAAGCAAAACATTTTCAGAACAATTTTGTGTTCATAAAGTTCAGCAAGTTAAGGGGACTACGACGTCTCGTGCCAATGAAATACAATTGCTTCTCTCCAGATAACTACTTTGGTAAGTTTAAATGGTGTCAATGAAAGAAAATTTGGACTTTAATTTTTGTAATACCGTAGAATCAACCACCAGGCTTTAGTTTGGGAACTGAAGACGATTCTGCAGTTAAAAGCATTCTGCACTTCCAGATGAGCCAGGTTCCGTTTTCAGCACCCACATGGTGGCATACATCCAGGGGATCCACCTCAGCCTGGCATGCTATCACATGCCTTTAATCTCCACAAAGAAAGAAGCAGGCAAATCTCCTTGAGTTAGAGGCCAGCCTGGTCTACAGTGAGTCTAGGCCAGTGAAAGAGTAGACAGTGAGACCTTGTCTGAAGGAAGGAAGGAAAGCAGGGAGGGAAGGAAGCCCTTCTCTTTTTCCTTTTTCTTTTTCAGTGCTGAGAAATTGAGTCCAGAGCTTTGCACATGGTAAACAAGTACTCTACCATTGAGCCACCTAGTAGCCCAACCAAATCAACCTCTTCTATTCTATCCATTATAAACCCAATCTTTTACACTGGAGTGACTTCAAGTGGAATAAAGGTGAATTGAATTATAGTATGCAGCTTTGGGCTTAAAACATGTTTCAGTTTACTATTTCCATTGTATCCTTTTCGTTTCAATAAACCAAATAACTAAAATAACCCTACTTCCCAGGTCAGTGAAGCATTGCCTCAGCTCAGCCTGTTAGCTAATAACTTACCAGCAAGGGGAACTTGCTCAACACTCACTGTGATTGGTCCTACACAGAAATGTGGCAATGAGGGAAAGAACCCTGAAAGTTAGCTAATAATAATAATAAAACCAATCTTCCTGCCTCTAGTATGTATACACACATGCAGAAAGGTACATGTACAGTTTCATACACACATGTACCTGCACACACAGGAAAACACCCACCCACACACCACCCCAGAAAAAAAGAAAAGCCAAAAAACAAAACAAAAACAATTCCATCTAGTTCCAAAGATAGCAACTTTTATAATAGCAAATTTTAGCTGTAAATTATTTCAGGAGAGAAAAGGTTTTGTTACCACAGGTCTCTGAACAGAGCAACCAGACACACTTGCACCACACACAGCGTAACATAAACAAGCTCTGCTCATCCCTTATCTCAGGCAACCAGACTCCCAGCAGGGGGCCAATACCACTTGACTAAGTGAAATGCTTGCTGCTCCATAAAGGTTACATCAGTGAAGACATAAATGAAGCAGCATCAGTTCTAAGTCTGGAGCCTGGGTTTGGATAAAAGGGCTTAGAACCCTCCAAAAGGTCCCTGTGTAAAAGGCATGGTTCCTTAGGTTAGCACTCCTGGACATTGAAGGTACGGGTAGAATCTGACCTAGTGGGAGTGCCTGAGTCACGGGGGATAAATCCTTGAAACACACTGTGGGGCCCCTTTCTTTTCCATGTCCCGACTCCCGAGGTGAACATTTCCGTTCATGTGTTTCTGCCATGATGTGCTGTTTCATTAGAAGCTCAAAGCACTTGGATCCAGAGTTGATCCTCCAGAACCTTGGGCCAAAATGAATTCTTTACAAGTGATATCAGGAATTCTGTTGCAGTAAGAAACTGATCTACTAGGAAATACATGCGGGACTCTGAGATGCATAGATCCCTCTGGGAAGCATGCTGTTCTTTTCTAAGAGTCGACTTATCATTGCAAACCCTCAGTGAGCTAATATGAGAAGACAGAGTCCAACAGAGTATCCTTTTAGTCGGGCAGCCTTCTAGCTATTACCTGGGAGTCAGACTAAGCTAACTCCATCTGAAGAGCTCCCTTGTTCACGCCAGGTGGCGCCGCTTGCTCTCTGGACCTGGACTACCATTTTCCTCACTTAGCTGCTCCTACTTATCATCGTCAAAAGTCAGGTAAAAGTTCACCTTAGCAGCTTTTCCCAATTACCTTTTTGTTACCTTAGTTTTGGATTGAAAGTATTTGTTCCCGTCAGTGGATTGAGTGCACTGAAGACAAAGAACATATCTTGGCCATCTCTGCTACCTTTAGGACCAAACACACTCCGTGATTCTTGGTCTCACTCTGTATAGCCTAGGCTGGCCTTGAACTGGCAGAGATTTTCCTGCCTTGGCCTCCTGAATGCTAGGAGGAACGGAATTATAACTGTGATCCACTACGCTGGGATCTCTCCATTTTCTTTGGAGGGACTCTGTGGAGCTGGAGAAAGAGCTCAGCAGCTGATGACTTGATATTCTTCCAGGGAACCTGAGTTTGGTTACCAGCACCCATGTCCAGCACCACACAACAGCTCCAGGGGACTGGAACCCTCCTCTGGCCTCTGTGGACACCTGCACATCCATGACACCCTGTCTTAGTTAGGGTTACTATTGCTGTGATGAAATGCCACGGCCAAAAGCAACTTAGGGAAGAAATAGTTTATTTCGCTTTTGCTTCCATATCACTGTTCATCATCAAAGGAAGTCAGAAGAGGAGTTCAAATCGGGCAGGAATGTGGAGGCAGGAGCTGATGCAGAGGTCATGGAGGAGCGCGGCTCACTGGCTTGTTTCTCATGGCTTGCTCACTCTGCTTTCTTATAGAACCCAAGACTATCAGGCAAGGCATGGCACCACCCACAGTAAATGGACTGGGCTCTCCCCCATCAATCACTAAGAAAATGCCCTACAGTGGATCTTAATGACAGCATTTTCTCAACTGGGACTCCCTCCTCTCAGACGAGTCTAGCCTGTGTCAAGTTGACATAAAACTATCCTGTACACATACAAATACACTCACACTCACATTCACGCACAAATTTAAAAACAATTTAAGGAGACAGAGAGATCTGTAAAGACAATTGGAGAAGATCAGGTACTGCACCAAAACCCACACCATACAGAATGCCTACCTCAAAGACAAGAAAATGGGAAACCTGAAATAAGACATCTCTTTTTCTCCCGAGTTTTCCCCACTGAATCCACTGTTAACCTGATTTTCAAAGTATGACCTGGGATTTTACTACATCTGATCAATTTCAATGCCACTTGAAATAGGCGCTTAGGAAATTTTCAGTTTTTTCGTAATAGAAAATTACTCAAGCATCACTGTATACTTGAATCAGCTTCTTCACAGATGGAGTCAATTAAATACGAAGGTTAAGGGCTTCATCCCGGTCACAGAACCACTTTTGAAAGTTTAAAAGAATAATCAATTAGTACGTTTTCTGTTCCGGATTAGTTACATAAAAATAAATCGTTTCAGCCAATTCACTTAAGGAACGACAATCACCTGGGTGTTCCAGTCAGTCTGTACCTTTCATTCTTAATTCGTTCAGCCCTAGCCGGAGATAAGTTTTAGTCATTGCAGAGACTACACATTCCATGCCACAGTCCCGTGAGACCTGAGCTGTCAGACAGGGAGCAGCTTAGCACAGTCGCTCCATCTGCACACAGAGAAGCGGCTTAGGCCCTCGCTACCACGAAATTAGATCGGAGTCCTCCAAGTCTGCCAGCACTGCCGGCCAATATCAACATCCTAGCCGGGCCACTGAAGCCTCGGGGGCGTGCGTGCGTCCTAAACTCGGGGCTCCCGAAGACGCAGAGATCGTCTGTGGGCCCTGCTGCCAGAACAGGAGCAATCAACAAGTGTCTCCGCTTTCCAGGGCCACCTCCCTGGCACAGAGGCCAGGACCGCGCACCTCAGTCCCCACTCCCTGCTCGGCCGGTCTTGGGGCGCCGAAGCCGGCCTTTCCTCCGCTGGCCGTCAAAGCTTACCCTCACCCGGGGCCGCCTTCCCGCCCCGACGGCCCAGCCCGAGCTGCCCGCCCCCCGCGGTTACCATGCTGGCGGGCGGCCGGCCCAATCGAGGGGCTCCCCGCGCCCGGCTCCCAGAGGGGTGGCGGCTGCCCGGTGTCTACTCCTGTCCGTCTGCTGCAGCGGGGTTTAGCAGAGTTCTCGGTCGGAGAAGCGCACCAAGCAGCGGCAGTAACTGCGGGCCCGGCGTACGGCAGCCATCTTCGCGGGACAGGGGGTCGGGGGTAGGCGCGCTGCGGTGGCCGGGGACTCGAGCTGCGGAGGGGTCGCCGGTCGCCAGCGGAGGCCGAGCACCGAGCGAGGAAACGAGCGTCGGCCCGACACGAGCGATCTGGACGCAGCGCCGGAGCTGCCTGCTCTGCTGCGGGAACTGCGCAGCCGCACCGCGCATGCGCACTGCCGCCGCCGCCGCCTGCCGGGGTAGCAGCCGCCTGTGGCGAGCCAGGCTGATGGGCCTACTGTGTGCACCCCTCCGCGTGGCCGGGCTGCCCCGTCTCGGTCAACCCGCCTGGTTTTGGTCCTGAGGACACCAAGGGAGGAGGGAGCGGACGTTAGCTCCAAATGTTTAAAACCTGAATTTGGAGTTGAGTCCCTGAGGCGATCCTAATCGGACGCTAGGGAACTGTAGTTTAGGCCGCCTGGGACACTGGGGGCCTCGTCGGAATGCGAAGAGTAGTAGCAGTCATTGCACCCCACAGACTCAGGACCGAAGAAAACAGACGCTCGAGCGTGCAGCCGGAGAGTGGGACCAGCCAACGCTAAGCAGGTCGAACTACAGATCCCACAATACCACGGAGGAAGGACGTGCCTTCCCTAGGCCCGAAACCCGATTCCTAAAGGGGGGGGGGGGAACGACGCAACGAGGCACGCCGGGATTTGTAGTCGGCTGTACCACGTTGAGCCGGAACTTACACTCACCCACCCCCAGCCCCGTGCCACTTCTTAAAGCCCAAACATCCGATTCCACGTCAATAGGAGGCACTTGGATTGCACGTTTTAGAACTTTTTCACCTACGGACATATGCTAGCAAAACTTACGGGCTTCGTAGCCTTGCACAGACATTTAGACAACATTTATTGAGTTTCTGTAAGTGTCAGGACCTAACCACCAGGACGCTACATTCATCCGACTTCACAGAATTTAAAATCTTATTGTGCTACTTTATTCTGGAGCTCATAAATGAAGTACGTCTTCGGCAAAGAAATGGAGGTAAAAGGGACGGGGTACAACTTGATTACAGTAAGAAATTGCAAATCCTATGTGTGTTTTTCTTATAGTTTGTCATCCACCGAGCCCAGTTAGTGTTGCCTGCTGGAATATTGCCCGATCTTGTTGACTTGATTTTGTAGGAATAATCATAACTGCAGTGGGTTAATGACAACTATCATGTCATGTCCAGAAAGCAGCATTTTCGAGCACTCCTTCCGATCCCAAGGGTTCTCACATTCTCTCCACTCCATCTTCTTTAATGTACCTGGAGCTGGGAGCTGGGGAATGGATAGAGATGTCCCGTTTAGTGCCGAGCACTGACACTTATCCCCCCCAGGTTTTTGGTTTGGGTTTTTGGTTTTTCGAGAAAGGGTTTCTCTGTGGTGTATCGCTGACCATCCTGGAACGCTGTAGTCCAGGCTGGCCTCAAACTCAGAGATCCGCCTGCCTCTGCCTCCAGAGTGCTGGGATTAAAAGCGTGTACCACCGTTTTGTAAATATGGAATCCACCTCTACATGGAGACTGTCCTTGTCTCCTGCATTAAGAATTAGTCTAGTGGGATAGGTCAGACACTCGGCTAAGGGAACACCCCAAGGAAGATGGGTTCATAAGATAATGTAATTTTCCTTCCCAGAATTCCCATCTCCTGTACATTCTCTGGAAGACAGCATAACCTGTTCACCTGGGTCTGTCTGTTCAGGTCTGCCTAAACACTTTTTCCCCCTTTCTTTTTCTTTAAGATTGTAGCCAGAACTTAAGCATGCTTTTAAACTCTCTAAGACTCTCTGCTTCCTTGCTCCTTCTCCAGAGTTACCCTTTCTGTCATGTGACTGCAGACACCATCCATACCTGCTAGTCTGCTCTGTTCTCTTCCTCCTGGCAGCTCAGGGTTTGCAGCTTGCCAACCCTAGGCTTCTCCTTGTTTTTGAGCTTCTGCTTGGGTTCATTTTTAAGTTCTTTTATTAATGACTCTGCTTGTAGGACTCAGCCAACCATGATAAGCTTAACAGAAACAGATCACCCAAAGGAAGTTCTTTTCTTCCAACCATTACCACCGGCCAGTGTAGGACCCAGCCATGATAAGCTTTATAGAGGCCTGAGTTTCAGTAGTTTTCCTTGAGGCAATACCTGGTTGCAGGAAGGACCACATTAACTAAGATTACCCAGGCACCACCCAAGAACAGACTGTCCAAAGGGAATTCCTAATGTTCTACTGTTGTACATAGGATCACTGCCAACACACACTCACCAGGACACCCTAGACAAATGTCAGCCAATCAGGGGTCCTGAACCTTAGAAACCCCTCACCCCCACCTTTACTACTATAAAAACCCAACTCTAACTGAGCTCAGGGATCTCCAATTATTCCAATACATTGGACACATGGAGAGACCAAGTTTGCAAACTTGTATAAAATAAAGGCTCTTTGCTTTTACGTACGGGACTCGGTTTCCTTGTTGGTTTTTGGGGAACTTTACGGATCTGGGCATAACACTGCTCAGACTTCCCAAGATTTCTTTCCTGCCTTTTAATTCCTATTTTAATCTTTTTTTTTTTTTTTCTCCCAGACAGGATTTCTCTGTGTAACAACCCTGGCTATTCTGGAACTCACTCTGTAGACCAGGCTGGCTTTGAACTCACAGAGTTTCGCTTGCCTCTGACTCCGGAGTGCTGGAATTAAAGGCATGTGCCACCATACATGGCTAATTCCCTTTTTAAAAAGATTTCCTTACTTTTTTGTATGTTTGTGTGTGTGTGCGTGTGCATAAGTTTATGTGCACCACATGTGTGAGGGACAGGTGAGTGGTGAACCATTTCATATAGATGCTGGGGACCTAAATCCAGGCCTCTACAAAAGCAGTAGGTGCTCTTAATGGCCAAACCGTCTCTCCAGCTCCCTGCTTCTTAATTCTTTAGTTAGCACAGGAAAGGATGCTGACCCTCCACCCCAGACAGCATCCCTTAGGCCAGTTATGAGTCTGCGTTAACTGCTGCCCACCGCAGAAGACACTTCCCTGACTAGGTAAGGTCGAGAGTAGGGCTAGTCTCTGGGTATAAACAAATACTGGAAAGGCAGTTTAACAGCATGTCCATTTCGTAAAGCAACAGTCATGGGTCTCCTCCATAGAACCTATAACCTCCTAAGCCATAGACTTTTGACAAGTCTCACTATAACAAACATGACTTTCTTCCTGTGGAGCGGGTCTCAGAGCCAATCAGAAAGCAGTTGATTTTACCTGTGCCACTACTGCACCAGTGGACACATCTTGCCTAAATCCTATATTTTATAAAGGTTCTCTCTTGTGGATGTTTTTATTTGTACATTACGTTAGCCACCTGTTAAAACTACCTTTCTATTCAATGGAGGCCAAAAATTCAATAGTTCTCTTTGTTTTTAAGGGGACTCTAAAATTTAGGTCTTCCAAGAAATTTTTTCTCCTAATTATCTTTTTAAAATAGGTTCTAAATGAAAAAGGGGGGGGAGTTATAACAAAAGAGATTGGAATTTTTTAAAGATCAGTTTTCAAAGGAAAAAGATATGAAATAGTTTCAGAAGTAGTCGGTTTCATTGAAAAGTGTTGAATGGTCAAGGTAGGCTGACCAACTAACACAGCTGTTTCCTGCTCTCCTAACAAGTTAGAGAAATAATAAAGCTTAATAAAATAAATATTTGTGAAGAGAAATTGCGTACCTGCTTTATTGAAGCGCTGTTTGCTTCACAGTGAGAGAGCCTGTTTTATTAAAGCACAGTTATAACTCACAGCTACTGTTCGATTTTAGTTGGGCTATCCAGGAGCCCTCATCACTGGTTTTTATTATCTCAACATGGATTTACAGGGCTATCATTTCCCGAGGGCCAGAATTACTAATCCAAGCTCGTTAGTAACCCAGTGGGCCTCTGCCAAAAGTAGACCAAGGTAGTTCCCATATTTGCAAGGTAGACTGGCTTGGTCCATTAAATTATACTAAAACTTAATCATTTTAGTTACTTTTAAAATTGCCTTTTATGGACACTATATGACTAGTTAGGCTCTTTGTCTTACGTTCACTGATGATGATCTGTGACTTTTTCACTTGTGTGTGGGTTGGCTGTCATAGAAGTAAGCAAAGAGATAGATAAATGTTGGCAGAAGCCTAGGGGAACTTGACTGTCTTGTAGGTTTCTTCAACAGAAACAGACACAGTAAGTGCTTGCAGCTTTAGTAAATTCAGGGTAAGTTAGTAATGAAAGGAAATTGTTAGGGTGATGAGCTGGGGATTATTTGATTTTTAAGACAAGCGCTGGTGTAGCTGAGTTGGCTTTGTAAGCTTGATCTTTCTGCTTGCACCATCTCAGTGTCAAGGTCAAGCCCAAACTGGGAGAGCTAAACTCACAAAAGATCAACGGTGGAAAACGGCTACTGTGGCAAAATAGTGTTCTTTAGAACGGTGTGGGTCTCCAGACTAGCAGCATCTACCCCAGGAACTTCTGGTGTGAGGCCTAGCAGTTTGTTTTTACTAGCCTTTTAAGGGTACCTCTGTGGAACAATGAACTCCAAGGGCAGGGGGAGAGGGGGTAGTTTGGAGCTTTCAAAGTGCTTCAGTCTTCCCTTAAGATGATTTCAGGTAACGTCTACAGTATTATTTATTTATTTTCGGATTTTTTGAGACAGGATCTCTTTATATCGTTCCGGCTATCCTGGAACACACTATGTAGACCAAACTGACCTAGAATCCACATAGCCCTGCCTGCCTTTATCCCCCTCAGTGCATGTAAATACTGTTTTCCGATGGTCTCCGGTGACATCTGTGAAAGGGTCGTAGCCCCCGCCTCCCCCCAGGAGCCCCAACTCCCAGGTTGAGAACTGCTGCAAATAGTGTTAGATTTCCTACAGCTGCATGGGAAGGAGAGCAAACGCAGACTGCAACTGGATGGTTTCCCACGTGGAAAGGTATCCACCCGATCATTCAAACTTAAAACAATGCTGAAAGCGGTTTTCTACGGTGGTTAAATACAGGCACCAAAATTCGTTGTGAGTATACAATTTAATCGCAAGCAGGAAAATGTTTTCAGCAGGGTGCCCCTTCTTTGCGTGTACCGGTTCAGCCTGCCTGGCAGGTGGTGGGTCTGCAGCTCCAAGGTGGACTCTTTGGA